TTGTCTCGGATTCTCCAGCATCTGCAGTTCCTACTATCTCTGACTCGGTTTACTTCCATTTGTTTTTCCACATCAGTTTGTCCCAAATAAATCCTTTCTCTCTGAAAAGATGTTTAAATAACTTCTTCATTTATTTCAACCTATTTTTGTTCCTGATTATGATTTATTTTCTTTAAATAACATCTGGTTAACATTGGTAGTTATGTCTAAAGAAAGTGTGCACAATAAATTATTGCATTTGTTTCCAAACCTCTCTCCACACCATCATCAGTATAAATGCCACCCTTTATACTATTTTCAATTCTCACAAAGGGTCACTGAACTCAAAATATTAACTCTGTTTTTCTGTCTACAGTTGCTGCTAAACCTGCTCAGTTTCTCTAGTACTTTGCTTGTTTCAGATTTCCAGCATCCACAGTTCTTTCTTGTTACTACTTCAGATTCTGCTCACTTGAGCACTCCTAATTTTAACTGCTCCATTAGTAGTCATGCCAGAGCTGCTTTGACCATAAACACTTGAAAATCATGCTTAAGCCTGTCAGCTTCTCAACCTTTAAAGCTTGACTTAAAACCTATCTTCTTTATGAAGCATTTGATCACAACTCCTATTTGGAGTTGATCACAACTCTTATTTGGCTTAGATGTCATTTTGTTTTGTTAACTGTTCATGTGAAATACCCTGAGCTGTTTTATTACGTTAAAGGAACTATATAAATCCAAACTGCAGCTATACTTATTAATAGGGTATACTATGTTAATTAGTGACATTATCCTACAGTCTGTGTTTCAATATGATTACAAGTATTGGGCAGTCAATATATTAAGTATAAATTGGGAACAATAATGATCTTTGGTGTGATGGACAAGCATTTGGCCTCCACTGAGCAATTTCCTTTAAGATATTATCATTTGCTTCTTCATAGCTGGCTGTATTGACAGAAAATCAATTGCAGCAGCCTGCTATATTTACATGCCCACCAAATGCAGTCAGTTGAGTTTTACCGCAAATGATACATCATAGTCTTTTGGAACAAATGGTTGATCTCCGAGGTCTTCAAAGAAGTCAGCTAAAAGATCCAGTGTTTCTTCTGCAAGTCTCTCGTATGTGGCTTCATCCAGTAAACTGCAACGAAGAAGAGTAATGATTTAAGTTCAACATCTTCTAAATACCTGAATAAAGCACCTTTCTTGTAAACAGAATGTTATGGTATTCCAAAAAATATTTCTTTTCCTTTCCTTTCTCTCCTGCAGGCAGCTTATTACCACTGAAGGAAGGAAAAGATTACCACTAGTACTTGTCATAAATGTTGTTACGCAATTGGGTTTTTTGAGTAGATGAAACCACCTTCTTCAAACTAATTAAATCCACTAAGTAAACAAGTTAGGAGGAAGCTGCAGAATTTGATCAGAAACTTTCTCAGCCCTTTTATAGATCCATGTAACCACAAGTCAAGCTCAAAATCACAAGGACACTCCCCTCCCTGAGAATTAGATGCTTTTATTTTATATGAAAGGCTTTCTTCAAAAATTCCATATGCTAGAGACCAAGTAGTCTGCTTATCTGGAAATGTATCTTACATCTCTGTTGGTTACTTGTTAGTTCTATAGACCTTTCAGTAAACTGGACACTTTTTTTGTACAAAATCTTTTTGTGTGATGCCAAGAAATTTGGCTTTAGGGCATCATGAATAGAGATGGTGTCCACCACTAGATTTCAATAGTTGAGTTGGCAATCCTGACACAGTGGGCAATATGCTTGCCTCTGAGTCAGGATGTTGCAAATTCAAATTCAATTTAAGACTGACACTCTCTTTGGAGCATTGAGGGGTGCTGCACTGTTGGAGATGCCATTCTGCAAAGGTGTTAAAGCCCAACTACCCTCTCAGCTGGACATAAAAGATCCCAGCACACTATTTTGAAGAATTTATAGAAAGGTTATTTTTAAGCCGGAGAGGATTCAGAACAGAGTTACTAGGATGTTGCTGGGTATGGTAAGTTTCAGTTATTAAGAAAGGCTCAATAGGCTGGGACTTCTTTCACTAGAGCTTAGGAGGTTGACAGGTGATCTTATAGAAGTTTATAAAATAATGAGGGTATAGATAGAGGTAGTAAGAACTGCAGATGCTGGAGTCTGAGATAACACAGTGTAGAGCTGGAGGAACATAGCAGGTCAGGCAGCATCAGAGCAGCAGGAAACGTTTCGGGTTGGGACTCTTCATCAGAAATGGGGAAGGGGGAAGGGAGCTCAGAAATAAATAGAAAAAGGAGGGGTGGGGCTGGGGAAGATAGGTGGGATGGTGATAGGTGAGTAGAGGTAGGGAGTGGTGAAGATTGGTCTGTGAGGTGAGAGGAGCGGATAGGTGGGACAGAAGATGGACGAGTTGTGTTAGGTCAAGGAGGCAGGGATGAGGACGGGGGTGGGGAGATTTTGAAACTGGTAAAATCCACATTTAGGCCATTGGGCTGTAGACTCCCAAGGCGGAATACGAGGTGCTGCTCCTCCAGTTTGCTAGTGGCGTCATTGTGACACTGGAGGGGGCCCAAGATGGACATGTTACCCAGGGGATGGGAGGGGTGTTGAAATGGTTCGTGACTGGAATTTTTAAGGTGAGAAGAGAGATTTAAAAAAAAATGAGGGGCGATTCTTTTTAATCCAGAGTGTCATTCATGCGGGGAATGAACTTCTAGAGGAAGTGGTCAATGTGGGTACAATTACAATGTAATTAAAAGACATTTGGATAAGTACATGCATAGGGAAGGTTTGGAGGGATTTGGGCCAGGAGCAGGCAGGTGGGACTAGTTTAGTTTGGGATTTTGGTCGGCTTGGGCTGGTTGGACCAAAGGCTCTGTTTCCGCGCTGTATTACTTTATGACTCTATAAGTGGAGGGGAATTCTCTCCATTGTCCTGGTTAATATATATCCCGTAATCAACAACACCAAAATAAAGAAGTGTTTCTGATTATTATCAAATTATGCATGAGAGAGGTTGCTGTTTGTAAACTGGCTCTGTTTCTTACATTACAACAGTGACCACATTTCGAATGTATTCACTGGCTGTAAAGACATATGAAGCAACATCAGTCCCAGTCAGCTGGACAGCAGAAGACAGATGCTGAAAGAGGCTGGTCTGGCCAAACAGATCAAAGGCTGTACATGCCAAGAGCAAAGAGGAGGGAAAATGCACCATGCTCATTGTCACAGAGGTCCAGAAATGTGATGATTTGGCCCATTTAGGTCCTGTGGTAGGGGTGCCAATCTGATTAGAGAGATTCCAATAGAAAACTGTGGGAAAAATGAGCATGGACATGTTCAAGGACTTGGAAGAAGATCTGGAGACTGGAAATAATGCAGTAGCTTGGAAGGAGAAGGGACAATGGTGAATTTCATGACTACACTTCTGATTCGGTGATAGACACTAATAGAACAGTGGAAACCGTTTGTAATATCATTTAACATGAAAGGCGGCAAAAGTTGTTGGATGGATCAACAGTCAACTAGGGATGGGACGTACAAACAAAAATGAATAGAGATTTGAAATGTTAACTTCTTCGACATACACATTGACTCAAAACAGTGTCATGTCATCACAGTTAATGTGTGTCCTGATAGGGAAATCTGGAAGATTTCAAGGCATTCAGATCACTAGATTTCTTGAGCCAAATGTCAAGCTTTCAATATTTAGACACAAATGAAATGTTAGGCTAATTTTACAAACAGGATCAGCAAACATCAACATTTTAGCTTTGTCACTGAAACAGAACCAAGTTAATTATGCACCCAACAATTGTGTGCATGCGCACACACTTGCATGTAAAGCCTTTTGTCACTTCAGGATACCTTGCATTTTCCATTCTTCTCAAAGTTGATGAATGGATTTCCTTCCTCTGCAACTGTAAGCATCTTAACCAACGTGAATGCTGAAAACCCTACAAAAGATTTTAAAAAATTGAATTGTAAGTGGGATGAATAAAAGTATATTCCAGGCAGGTGTAAAAAGAGATTTAATGCCAATTTTTTTTTTAAAGAGGCCAGCACAAGAGGAATTCCCTTCCTTGCATACTAATTGGTCTTTTTAACATTAAACATAAAGATAATTCAGGTTAAATCCCCCAACCTTTGTGAATTGCAATTTGTAAAGCTAAATAGATTCATTATTACAGGTCAACAATAAAATAAACCCTTGAGAGGCTAATAGGTAAATGTTGTATGGAAAAGTGATATCTGATGTGAATTGTATTCGTGGATCTCAGTTGGGACAGTAACGCTGAGTGTACTAATCTCAGTTGGAATATTAGCAGGAACACGTATGACCCAAGGAGGGGGAGAAAAAATAAATAAAACTAAGATCCCTGTTTATAACTGCTGTTTAGGAACCCTCATTGAAACGTGCAAGGTATTTGTGATTCCCTCTTGACCAAATACTGTTGTCTGGTAACAATCACAATTTTTAGGCCTATTACTGATGGCTATTAAGGTGCTGACAAAACTGTACTACAGCATATGATACTTCCAGAAAACGAATAGAGAATCAAAGGCTTAGATTAAAAGTTAAACATTCAAAACTTGGCAAACAAATGGCTGGTTTGTGAATTGCAGCATGAAACAGCTGAATAAAGCAGCTTTAGTCACTAGTCAACAAATTTTAATTATTTACCAAACACCATTTGACATCATTCTGTAGTTAGGTATAAAGGAGTGAATCACTTAGCTACCTCACCTTAGATAATTGTTCCCTGATGTTTAAATGGCTCTGCCTTCACAAGCAATGTTTTTACCCCTTCTTAAAATAGCCACAGTTACCCTCTTTGATGAATGCCCTTAACTTCGACTTCCCTTTCATCTCCCAAAGGCTATGAATGCATCTACATTCTCATCTCTTTCACCACTCTGTTCAGTATCCTAATGTCTGCTTTCTATCCTATACAACCGAGAGTGTGCTGATGTAAGAAATGAATGACTTTAATTTCTTGCAACAGCTTCCTCTCCTTAGCATTAACACTTTGAAGACTTGTGACCTGCTGAAAATTTTCCTGCATCTTTTGTCTATATTTTAGATACATGGCTTCTGCTGTATTTTGATTTTGTTTTACTATTTTGTTGTTGCTTGTCAGGGTAAGTGCAGAAGTGTGTGCTGCCTGGGCAGTTATCAGAGTTCTGTATTACAGGTATTTAGAATATAGCAGAGTTTGGTGTGTGGCTGCTTAGCTGTAGAATGGAAATTAATGATAAGACAGTATTGCAATCAAATTTCTGTCCTTTGAAGGAATCCAGGCAATTTCACTTAAGTAGGGTCTATTGTATTGAAGTTATAAATATTATGACAGATTAAATTTTTTGATTGTAAGCACAGTGCATGCAATCCAAAAACAATATGAAGCATTTCAATCCTTCGTGCTTAATATAGTCAGTTTAAAAAAAACATGAAGTACAGATGCAGCATGGGGCAAAATATGGCATGTTCAGTCCTGTGCAAGCATGATATTTAATAGCTAAACGTATCTTTTGGCTTTACATTGTTTTGTGATGGGCGTAGATTAATACTGTGCTACACTCATTTTGATTGCAGTAGTTCTATAAAGGAAGAGTGGTAGAGTTCATAGCTATTGCGCTGCTGTCTCTGGCAGCGTATAATTATGTGTGAAGCTCCATCTGGTGGAATAGGAAATAAATGATGAGAAGCAGGTTCCAGGAAGCTAGTAACAGTCACACAGATTTGGGGCAATTAACGAAAGAACGAGAGGCAATATGAATAAAACTAACAAGTTATAATGATCTGGAATGCACCACCTGAAAAGCAGTAACTTTCAAAAATGACATTAAATAATTAATTGAATGAGAAAAATTCATGAGGAAATGGGCAAAAGAGCAAGCAGGAACTGAAAGTAATTGCAGTGTCCCCTTAAAAAGCCAGCATTTGCACAATGGGCCAAATGGCCTCCTTCGTTCCACAGAACCATTGTCAAATAGTGCCATTATCTATAGATTTATTAATTCCTATTGGAGGCTCAAAAACATAAGACTTGACTTTCTTTACTTGTTGACCAATTGTTGGCTGACAACAAGTCTTTCTCAGTGAAACTGAAAACATTTGATAGCAATAAGTGTCTTTCTATTGTTTTATGATGGAAGGAGGTTTATAATTTCCAGAGGCATTTGATAAGGTGTCATATAAAAGATCATTGCATAAGATTGGAGTTTGCAGTGTTACGGGTAATATATTGGGTAACCCACAGAACCTGGACAGTCGAAATTACTAAGTCATTTTCAGTTTGGAAAGATGTAACTAACGGAGTGCCACGACAATGAACAGTAGGCCGTCAATTAATTATTACATAATAATGAGATGGATGAGGGGACAGAATGTAATTCATTCAAATTTGCTTCTGATACAAAAATAAGTGGGAGGGCATTTTGTGATGAATATATAAATCTGCAAAAGAATAGAGATAGGTTTACTGAGTGGACAAAAAAAAAATTGGCAGATAAAGTTTAATGCAGGAAAGTGTGAAGTTGTGTACTTTGGTAAGAAGAATCAAAGGCAGACTATTGTTTACGTGGAAAGAGACTACAAAAGGTGCAGCACTGAGGAAACCTGGTGTTCTTGTCCATGAAACACAAAACATTGGCATGTAGATATAGCAAATAATTAAGAAGGCAAATGAAATTTTGGCCATTATTGCTGGGAGGAAATCTTGTTACAACAGGGTGAGACTGCACCTGAAGTACAATGTACAGTTCTGTGTCCTGTACTCAAGAAGGAATATACTGGCATTGGAGGCAATTTAAAAGAGATTCACAAGGCTGATTCTGGGATGAATGGGTTGATTTACAAGAACAGCAAAACAGGATTGGTCTTTATTTGTTAGAGGAGAATGAGGGTAATCGTATTGAAACATGCAATATTGTGACGGTGCTTGACAGAGTAATGTTGAGAAGATGCTTCCACTGTTGGTGGAATCTTGAACTGGGACATAAAATTACAGAATAAAGGGACACTAATTCAAAATTTATATGTGAAGGAATTTCTTTTCTCAGAGTAGTAAATGCCTGGAATTTTCTATCCCAGAGAGTTATGGAGTCTCCATCGCTGAAAATATTTAAAGAGGTAGACAGATCTTTGAAAATATTGAGAAATTGAGGGTTACAATGAACAACACGGAAGAAGAGTTGAGCCCTGGTGCAGATCAACCGTGATCTTACAGTAGGCTTGAGAGGCTGAATGGTTTACTTCTGCTCTTATTTCTTATGTTCTTATATCTGTGCTGAGTATAACAACTTGATCGCTGTCATTTGCATGACTCCCTCTTAAAGGGCTTACCTCGAGCGTCAGCGGCCTTCATTTTTCAGCAGCAGAGGGAGAGGCAACAGCGAGGACCAGGGGGCTGCCGGGAATATATTTGGGCAGTGGATTTTATTTTGCGCTTCACTGATGTTACAATCAAAAGACTAATGAAGCATAGTCCAAGTGTACGGGAACATCCCTTTAACACAAAATAAAAATCTTGATTGGATGGAACCATAATCTGCCCAAAATGGATGACAACCCAAAGCAAGAGATTTAGGAGGGAATCCAAAAGCATGGTCAAAGAGATGGTTAAAGTAGGATGATAAAACTGTGCAATATGGCTCAGTCCGTAGCACTGTTTTTTTGCCTTTTAGTTAGAAAATTATGGGTTTGACTACTTCTCCAGAGACCGGACCACAAAAGCCACACAAATGCTCCCAGTGCTGAGGGAACACTTCATTATCAGGAAATGCCATCTTTCAATTGTAATATCTTCTCAGATGGATGTCATTATTTTAAAGAAGAGCAGGTGAGTACTCCTCAATGTCCTTTTCAATAGATATTCATCAACCAACCTCACAAATAGATTATTTGGTCATTGTCATATTGGTGTTTGTGGAAGATGTGGTCTACAAATTGGTGATGCATTTTCTTATCACAAAAATGAACAAACTTCATTGACTGTAAGGTACTTTGGGATGTCGAGGTGGTGGAAGTTGTTGTGGAAATGTAAATCTTTCTTTAAAATAGAAGATGGAGCTCATGTTAGGGATTCAGAAATGCGGAAGCTAAATGACAAAGCTTTCAATTCTACCAAATGCTTAATGACCAGAATTGGAGGAATGCTGAGATATTGGATGGTTACATATGATTATATAGGATATAAATGGCACAGAAACTGGCATTTGGCCCAATTAGTCCCTATTGGTATTTATGCCACACTAAAGCTTCCTCCCATCTTTTCTCAACTAAATCTAACATTATAATTCATGATTCTTTTCTCCATCATATATTTGTCTAGCTTCCTTTTGCATGTATCTGTACTATTTGTTTCAATTGCTTCTTATGGCAACAAGTTCCATATTCTTACCACTTTATGTTATGGAATTGAAGGAGGTTGCAAAAGTAGGATAAACTGGGATTTAACCACAAGGATAAGAATCTTAAGTTGGAGGCATTAAAGACTGGGAGCCAATGCAAGTTAGCAAGGCTAGGGGTGATGAGTACGCAGAGCCTGCTGTGGGATAGAATGCTAGCAGCAGCGTTCCAGGTGAATTGAAATTTACAGTGGGTGGAGGGTGACAGCTGGTCCTGACAGCATTAAAATAGATAAGACTAAATACCATTCATGTAACTGTGGAAGCTGACTATGTGTCTGTAAATAATGTCACAATTATTGAAATGATTTCAATTGCTGCTCTGAAATGTTCAGAGTTACATCAATTATTTGTGTTTATATGGCATTTTTAACATGGGCACAAAAAGAATTATCAAACAAAATTCTGCATAAAGCCATAAAGATTTCCAGGACAGATGGCCAACAATTGGACCAAAACATAATGTTTTAAGGAAAATCTTCAAAAGACAGAAAAATACAGAGACAACAAGATCTAGGGAGGAATTTCCTTAGCTCAGGGCCGAGGCAGCTGATGGCACAATTCTCGATGGTGAAGCAACAGAAAACATATACTCAAGTGTCCAAATATGGATGACAGAGATTTTTGAGGATTGTAAAGCTGGGAAGGCTGTGTGTGACATGGGAGGATTACTGAGACACGGAGGGGTCAAATTATTAACGTTGGCTTTTCAACAGAAAATTGAGATGGGCAAAATTGTTTTTTCCCCTCACGTCATTAATTTTCTAAAATCTGATACAAAATGTAACCACAGCTTTCAAACAATTCAGCAATTATAAACATCAATCCACAGAATCACAGCAAACAATGTAACTTATAGATAATGACCGTGTTGAATTATTGGGTAATGATTTCTGCTGAACCACTACTCACTCTAGGACTTTAGGCCAAAAATCAAGGTTGATACTCCAGTGCAATAAGTAGGAAGTGCTGCACTGTTGGAGGTGTCATTTTTCATACAACAGTTTAAGGAGAGGTTCCAGCTACCCTCTTAGCTGAGTGTAAAAGATCTCATGGCTATTATTTCAATGAAGAGCTGAAGACTTCTTCTCAATCTCTTTACCTTTATATATCTACTCTGGTCCATTCCTCCTCCAGTCCCAACATCTTCCTAAAGCCCCATGCCACCTTCCTGTGCAATCGCAGAAGGTGCAATACCTGCCAGTTTACCTCCTCTCTCGTTACCATCCAAGGCCCCAGACATATCATCCAGGTGCAGCAGTGATTTACCAATACTTCATTCAATCTAGTCTACTATATTGCTGTCCACAACGTGGTGTCCTTCACACTGAGGAGAAGAAACGCAGCCTTGGGGACTGCTTAGCAGAACACCTATGTTCTGTCTGCAAAAATGACCCCAAGCTTCCAGTTTCCATTTCAACACACCACCGTGTTTCCTTACATCTCTTTGCAGGCCTGCTGCACTGTTCCAGCAAGCCTCAACACAAGCTCGGACAACATTTTCCACTTGGGAACCCAGCAGCCTCTAGGGTTCAACATCAAGTCCAATAACTTTACAGCATGATACCATCATTCAATGTTTTTTACCCATCCCATACCTGGTCCTGTTATGACATGGGTTGCTTTTAGCACAGTTACCTGTACTCCTGTACTCGCAGGCCCATTATTACATCATATGGGTAGCATTCAGTACAGCTTACCCATTTTCTCCTACCCTTAGTTCTTATTATCACTTATTCAGTTTTTTTTTCTGTTCTGCCCTGATGTCCGTAACCTCCTTGTTTACCTACCCCTTTCATATCTCTATATGGGCTCCATCTCCACCCATCTGCTCACCTCTCCCCTTCCACCACCGTGCCCCAACCACAAATTTGGCTTCAGCATAAATATCACTGTTTCCTAGCTGCTAACAGTTCTGTTGAAGAGTCAAATGACTCAAAACATTAATTCTGCTTTCTTCCCAAAGATGCTGCACGATCTGCTGAGTTTCTCTGGAAATTTCTGCTTTTGTTAAAAAAAAATTATTTTAAGTTATTTGTGACTAAATTGATTGCTGCGATTCCTTCATTATGTCAGCACTTCTACACTACTTCAAAAGCACTTCATTGGTAGTTAAGCTTCAGTCATTTTGTAGTCAATAAAGGCATTTAAAAAAGTGAGGGGGAACTCATGGCCTCAAGGTTTAACATCTCATCTGGAAGGTTACATTTCTGGCAATGCAGCACTTGATCAGTACTGCACTGGCAGTGTGAGGTTTGTGCAGAGTAGAGGTATCAGCTCTGGCTCAGTTGTCACAGTCCCTCTTTGAAATCAGAAGGTTACTGATTCAAGACCCATTCCAGAAACTTGAGCAGATAATTCAGAATTACATTTCTCATGCTGCATTGTCAAGATGTGGTGACAGTGATTACCCTCAATGTCAAGTGTGACTGAGCGTGGAATAAAGAAGACTGAGTAAAAACAGAGTTGAAAGGAATCATTGGAAACCTTCCACTGGAAGATCATGTGGTTCTTGGAGTTCAATCGTACTTACACCAGAACATCTGTGCAAGGATTCTTTAGTGTAATGCCTCGGCCCAACTATCTTAAGCTGCTTCATCAACTGCCTTCATTCAGAGATGGCAAGGTTTGCTGATGATTGCTGCAAAGTGTCCGTAACCACTAGCAATTTTTCAAATCCTGGAAGAGTCCAGCAAGACCTGGACAACATTGAGGTTTTGGCTGATAAGTGGCAAGTAATATTCACACAACACAAATGTCAGACAATGGCCGTCTCCAACAGGAGAGAATCTAACCATCTTCCATAGACATTCAACAGCCTCACAATTGCTGAGCCTTCCATTAGCAACATCTGGGTGTTACTATTGACCAGAAGCTACAGTGAGCTAGCTATATAAATACTGTGGTGATAAGAGCAGGTCAGAGGTTGAGAATTCTAAGGTGACTCCCTCCATGCAGCTCCAATGATACGAGGAAACCTGACACCATCCAGGACAAAGCAGCTTGAGTGATAGCCATCCATCAGCTTCAACATTTAACTCTCTCCATTGCCAGCTTACAATGGCAGCAGAAAATACACTTCAGTAACTTTCCAAGCTTCCTTTTCACAGGACCTTTCAATCCTGTGGCATGTATCATCTTGAAACATAAGTGTAACAGATGCATAGATTACCATTGCCTGCCAGTTCCTCTCAAAGTCATACACCATCTTCACTTGGAACAATATTGCCATACTTTCTCTATCTCTGGGTCAAAATCCTGGAACTCACTGCTTAACAACACTCTAGATGTATCAACGTTACATGGACCAGAGTATTTCAAGTGGTTGATTGCAAGAGAAATTAGGGTGGTCAATAAATGCTGCATTGCCAGCTGCAGCCCCAAACCACAAGTGAATAAAAAAGGTGCTATCCTTCGACCAAGACATTAAACTGTGACTTGTCTGCATCTCAGGTGAAAGATAATGGTCAGTATATTGAAGAACATTAAAGTTATCATTAGCATTGTGGTCAATATTCATCCTTCAATCAACATCACTAAAACAGATTATTTGATAATCTATCTCATGGCTGCTTACGAGAATTTGCTCTGTGCATCTGTTTCCATGACCCTTAGGAAAGTGCTGCATTGGCTGTAAAACATTTATATGCCACATTGGCATTACAGAATTTGTCATTAACACCTACATAGGCTGCTTAAAAACAAATGATATGAAATCCTAACTTATTTTTATAGAGTCAAACAGCACATCGATAAGCCATTTGGCCCATGTACTGGGATCTTTCTTTGCTTTCACTATTGAGGGGTGACCTTATAGAGACTTATGAAATCATCAGGGGATGGATAGGGTAAATAGACAATGTCTTTTCCCTAGGGTGGGGTAGTCAAAAACTATAGGGCATAGGTTTAAGGTTAGAGCGGAAAGATTTAAAAGGGACCTAAGGGGCAACTTTTTCACACAGAGGGTGATGCATGCATGGAATGAGCTGCTAGGGGAAGTGGTGAAGGCTAGTACAACTACAATATTTAAAAGCCATCTGGATGAGTATATGAATAGGAAGGGTTTACAGGGATATTGGCTAAATGCTGACAAATGGGATTGGAGTCTGTTTCCGTGCAGTACATCTCTATGACTCTACTTGTTTCAGTGGACTTATGACGCAGGACGATGTGTAGCCACCAGAACAATTTTCATTCTGATAATATCAATCAAGAGGCGGCCACGAGGAGACCTGCTAGAGGGGTCTCAAAACCTGGAGGAGCTTGATGAAAATGGATATGGGCAGAAAAGTTCCAAAGGTTGGTGTAAGGGTCCAGAATCAGAAGATAGAGATTAAAGCTAATGGACAAAAAGCACCGCAAGACGTTTTTCATGCGGCGAGTATTTCGGATCTGGAATGCACCAGCATATGTTTTCAGAATCTCTACCTGCAGGTACAAAGGAACGTACAAGGGAATGTGAGATAACAAGATGTGGAGCTGGATGAACACAGCAGGCCAAGCAGCATCAGAGAAGCAGGAAAGCTGACGTTTCGGGTCTAGACTCTTCTTCAGAAAATGTGATTTGAATGTTGCCTTAGTAAACAGCTAGTCCAAGTACAACGGGCCGAACAGCCTCTCGCTGCATTATATTACACAATACAATTTGACATGAACTCATCGCCGCAGCTTCCAGCCCATGACCCCTAACCTCGGGTCGACGAAGCCGTTCCGCCGCAGAGCCACTAATGTGAGCAATAACCAATCGGCTTCGCTCAGGGAGGAGGGGGGCGGAACCTTGATTGAGGATGCACGGACGAGCCTCCGAGGATAAAGACCACGTGACCTCCGGAAAGACCAATAGCAACACGGCGCGAGACCTTGGTTGGAGTCTGGCTGCGCTCGAGTTGGCGGGGGGGGGGGAGTCCCGGCCTCAAACTGAGTTTGAATAAATAACGGTCAGTAATGTGCTACACGCATACATACAATTGAGGACCTTCACTGCTCTTACTCACCGCGGATAAAGTGTTGAGTGAGGGAATGGTTACGTGATGAATTTCGGGGACTGTCGTTGCTCTAAGGTGCCTTGTAAACCTGCGGAGCGAGGGGCGTAAGCCCCGGTTTAGAAAACCCGCCATTTGCCACCGGGGGTGGATGGGGGTGGCGTGTGAAGACCAACGATCACATCGGCCCTCGACTCTCAGTCCCTGTGTGAGGAGCCAGTAGCAAGGATTGTGCGTGCCCGCACGGCGAAAAGGTGTATGACGTAATGGAGGCGGGGTTACGGTACCCCAACCTGAATGGGCGGGAATGGAATAGGGACGTGGTTGCGTCACCAACGCGGAGGGGGCGGGGCTTGGGTGGACATGCTCCGCCCCCAGAGAAATTCGAGGTCAAAACCTGGAAGTGTGGAGCAGGTCAGGCTGGGCAGGTGGACAGAGATTTCAGATATTTTACCAGGTTAGGAAGGTAGACAAAATCCGAGTGTTTCCAGTTCCCTCAGTATTCTGCTTTTAAGAAATTAATTCATGATTACGTACCGACAAAAACAGAAGCTGCTGGAAAAAGCTTTTGTTTTTGTTTGACTTACGCCATCCGCAATTCTTTCGGGTTTTTATTACGTACCGACAAATTGCATTCATGTGGCACCTTCCACAACCTCTGGACATCCCAAAATCTCTCGAGATGTCCAAGATCGGCGATTTTGAGCAGATCGGTAGGGTGGATGCTGGGAGGATTATGCGCTCTCTCTCCCACCCATTCTGTGGGAAATGAGAAATAACGTCGGTCCTTTCAAAATAAGAAGTCTTTTTTACAATGAGATTTTTTTCTACTTTTAGAAGGATGTAAATCTTTGGAACTTCCTTTTCGCAGAGAACAGTGGAGGGTGGGTCACTGACTTTATTTCAAAAGAGAGTGTTGAATAGATCATCCGCTTAGCCGAACTCGTCCTCACACTCAACAACTTCTCTTTCAATTCCTCCCACTTCCTACAGACAAAGGGGGTAGCCATGGGTACCCGCATGGGCCCAAGCTACGCCTGCCTCTTTGTAGGTTACGTGGAACAATCCCTCTTCCGTACCTACACCGGCCCTAAACCCCACCTCTTCCTCCGTTACATTGATGACTGTATCGGCGCCGCCTCGTGCTCCCACGAGGAGCTCGAACAGTTCATACACTTCACTAACACCTTCCACCCCAACCTTAAGTTTACCTGGACCATCTCTAACACCTCTCTCCCCTTCCTGGACCTCTCTGTCTCCATATCGGGCAACCACCTCGAAACCGATATTCATTTCAAGCCCACCGACTCCCACAGCTACCTAGAATACTCCTCCTCCCACCCACCTTCCTGCAAAAATGCTATCCCCTATTCCCAATTCCTTCGCCTCCGCCGCATCTGCTCCCAGGATGAGGCATTCCACTCCCGTACATCTCAGTTGTCCTCGTTTTTCAAGGACCGTAACTTCCCCTCCTCGGTGGTCGAGAACGCCCTCAACCGTGTCTCCCACATCTCCCGCACCTCATCCCTCACACCCCGTCCACGCAATAAAAACCAAAAAAGAATCCCCCTCGTCCTCACGTACCACCCCACCAACCTCCGGATCCAACGCATCATCCTCCGACACTTCCGCCATCTGCAATCCGACCCCACCACCAAAGACATCTTTCCCTCCCCACCTTTATCTGCTTTCCGGAGGGACAACTCTCTCCGTGACTCCCTTGTCCGCTCCACACTCCCCTCCAGCTCCACCACACCCGGCACTTTTCCCTGCAACCGCAGGAAGTGCTACACCTGCCCCCATACCTCCTCCCTCACCCCCATCCCAGGCCCCAAGAAGACTTTCCACATCAAGCAGATGTTCACCTGCACATCTGCCAATGTGGTATACTGCATCCGCTGTACCCGGTGTGGCTTCCTCTACATCGGGGAAACCAAGCGGAGACTCGGGGACCGCTTTGCAGAACAC